GACAGACGTAGATAGAGGTTTGTGTACTGTACGACAGTAGGACAGACGTAGATAGAGGTTTGTGTACTGTACGACAGTAGGACAGACGTAGATAGAGGTTTGTGTAGTGTACGACAGTAGGACAGACGTAGATAGAGGTTTGTGTAGTGTACGACAGTAGGACAGACGTAGATAGAGGTTTGTGCAGTGTACGACAGACATATATTTTAAGTACGAAGTTTGATAAAAGGCCGTCGATGTGTGAATGTGTGAATCATGGATTAATTTCCCTGGTAATTCAATTTAAAAAGAAAATATCATTAGTAGACAGGCATAAATATAATGGAAAACCACACAATCAGCACACTTACAAAATTAACACTGTGGAATTTCCAGACACATTTCATGAAGTGACAAAATGAAGCTATCTTGTGCTGGGAGCAGGATCCGATCAGAGAGCGGTGACATGTGTGATGTCCTTCATATGACACAGAACCATCCATCACTAGGGACAGTCAGGGAGCACCGCGAGCTGCACACCTACCTCTCTCACCTGGACGGCCATCACACCTGTGTACGTCACACCTGTACGACAATTCAGCACGCGAGGAGGAGGCTAAGGCATTGTCTTACATGTCTTCACATACACAGGTGTAAACTCTTACCTGTAAGAAACCTCATTGCTCTCAAGGATGTATGGTGTAAAATAGTATACAACAATACTGTGTTCAGTTCATCCTCTAAACCGCCGCCTGGAGTTTACGTGCAAAGGAATGAAATTTGGATCAAACAATTTCAATATTCTATGAATGCCAAAGTTAGGAAAAGTCCATACTTTGTGTAAAAGATTATCTATCTGGACGTGAAAGTATGCTTAGTGTGTGATCAGTGCTTGCATACCTGAAAAGTTTCCTGGAGATTTGTTACCGCTGACTTTAATTCCGCCCGGTTCCCTTCCATCTACCATGTCTTGTCATCAACTGCTGTATTTGACGTTTGTTTACGGGTTTGTTTTGATGAGTTTTATAGCAGGTAAGTTGTTCTGTGTATGTCGCTGGTATTCAGAGACAAAGATCGTAACAGAAATGGTTTGAGATAAAGGTTGATAACTGGACGGAATGATTTACACAAAGAACTATTGTCCTTTTCTGATAAATTTAGATTATATATTGTATGACAGGTACCTTATAAATGGTTATATTAGGCGTTAAGATGCACGTGGAAACGGCCAATTAAACACTTCCGCTCATATTTCCGTTATATACGTTTTAAGGAAAATATTCTGATTAGAGAATAAAAACCAAGATTGGCGTTACATATAGTACATTCTGTTTCCATGCCGTTCTGACATCGCCAATATATCCATGCGCAAAGCATATATTTATGTTCGGATCTGAGCGTGAAATTAGAAATCGCCAATTTAGGCCGTTACACAGTGTATGACTTCGTTTTGCGAGCAAACCGCTTAACTTAGACATTTTTCTCCCATAAAAACCTTCATAAAAGCAGTTGGCTTATCCGCGAACAGCTCCCACTGTTTCTCTTGTCTTTAGTAGAAGTATTTCCGTATTTATGTATGCTCCTTAAATAGTCTATTAACCTCTTAACATGTACAATATACGCTATCAAGCTGACTATAAACAGTTAAACATGTACAACGTACGCTATCAGGCTGACTATAAACAGTTAAAATGTACAATGGACGCTATCAAGCTGACTTTAAACCGTAAAACATGTACAATGTACGCTATCAGGCTGACTATAAACAGTAAAACATGTACAACGTACGCTATCAAGCTTACTATAAACAGTTAAACATGCACAACGTACGCTATCAAGCTAACTATAAACAGTTAAACATGTACAATGTACGCTATCAAGCTGACTATAAACAGTTAAAATGTACAATGTACGCTATCAAGCTGACTTTAAACCGTTAAACATGTACAATGTACGCTATCAAGCTGACTATAAACAGTTAAACATGTACAACGTACGCTATCAAGCTGACTAAAAACCGTTAAACATGTACAATGTACGCTATCAAGCTGACTTTAAACAGTTAAACATGTACAATGTACGCTAGCAAGCTGACTATAAACAGTAAAACATGTACAATGTACGCTATCAAGCTGACTATAAACAGTTAAACATGTACAACGTACGCTATCAAGCTGACTAAAAACCGTTAAACATGTACAATGTACGCTAGCAAGCTGACTATAAACAGTTAAACATGTACAATGTACGCTATCAAGCTGACTATAAACCGTTAAACATGTATCCTCCTACCGGCTTGCACAGGTGAATATACACTTATGAGAAATAGCACATGTCAGTGTTATAACTGCTGAGAGCAGACTGTATATATGTTATTACTGTATAAACGTATCAGGCGCAACCAGATTTCTGCAATCATCATTATTTTTTTTTTCTGATTTAGATTTCATGAATAGTTATTGGTTAATTAGCATCAATGAGTATATTATTCCCTGTTCCTTAGTTGTCAAGTGTACAGATAATTCTGGGCGGATTTCTAATTATAAAGTTTTTAAAACAAGGTAATCATAAAGTATTGATAGATTACATGTTAGTATTGTCAGTCATATATATATATATGTCACTATGAAGCTCATGTAGGACAGGAAATCTCGTACTTTATTTCTGATTGAGAAAGATCAATAAGTACTGGTAATTAAATTCATATTTCAGTTCTGTTGGATAAAATCCTACTGTACATCTGATAGTCATGCCAAATAACTGGTAAAGTCATATACACTTCTGGTAAATAAAGTCATATACAGGTTAATAAAGTCAAATACACTTCTGGTAAATAAAGTCATAAATACACTTCTGGTAAATAAAGTCAAATACACTTCTGGTAAATAAAGTCAAATACACTTCTGGTAAATAAAGTCATATACATTTCTGGTAAATAAAGTCAAATACACTTCTGGTAAATAAAGTCAAATACACTTCTGGTAAATAAAGTCAAATACACTTCTGGTAAATAAAGTCAAATACACTTCTGGTAAATAAAGTCAAATACACTTCTGGTAAATAAAGTCAAATACACTTCTGGTAAATAAAGTCAAATACACTTCTGGTAAATAAAGTCAAATACACTTCTGGTAAATAAAGTCAAATACACTTCTGGTAAATAAAGTCAAATACACTTCTGGTAAATAAAGTCAAATACACTTCTGGTAAATAAAGTCATATACACTTCTGGTAAAAAAAAGTCAAATACACTTCTGGTAAATAAAGTCATATACACTTCTGGTAAATAAAGTCAAATACACTTCTGGTAAATAAAGTCAAATACACTTCTGGTAAATAAAGTCAAATACACTTCTGGTAAATAAAGTCAAATACACTTCTGGTAAATAAAGTCAAATACACTTCTGGTAAATAAAGTCAAATACACTTCTGGTAAATAAAGTCAAATACACTTCTGGTAAATAAAGTCAAATACACTTCTGGTAAATAAAGTCAAATACACTTCTGGTAAATAAAGTCAAATACACTTCTGGTAAATAAAGTCGAATACACTTCTGGTAAATAAAGTTATATACTTTTCAGGTAAATAAAGTCAAATACACTTCTGGTAAATAAAGTCATATACACTTCTGGTAAATAAAAGTCAAATACACTTCTGGTAAATAAAGTCATATTCACTTCTGGTAAATAAAGTCAAATACACTTCTGGTAAATAAAGTCAAATACACTTCTGGTAAATAAAGTCATATACACTTCTGGTAAATAAAGTCAAATACATTTCTGGTAAATAAAGTCAAATACATTTCTGGTAAATAAAGTCATGCTTAGCTAAAAGTAGATAAATCCCTAAGTATCGCTTCCGTTACATAGAGTAATACTACGCCGGCGTGTGTTGTAATACCTGATCTATTTGTCTGTAGTTGAGGTCTGGGGTCTAGTATGGGGTCCTGTCGTCGTTTTGTTAATTACTGACCTATTTGTCTGTAGTTGAGGTCTGGGGTCTAGTATGTGGTCCTGTCGTCGTTTTGTGAATTCCTGATCTATTTGTCTGTAGTTGAGGTTTGGGTTCTAGTATGGGGTCCTGTCGTCGTTTTGTTAATTCCTGACCTATTTGTCTGTAGTTGAGGTCCGGGGTCTAGTATGTGGTCCTGTCGTCGTTTTGTTAATTACTGACCTATTTGTCTGTAGTTGAGGTCTGGGGTCTAGTATGTGGTCCTGTCGGCGTTTTGTTAATTCCTGATCTATTTGTCTGTAGTTGAGGTTTGGGTTCTAGTATGGGGTCCTGTCGTCGTTTTGTTAATTCCTGATCTATTTGTCTGTATTTGAGGTCTGGGGTCTAGTATGTGGTCCTGTCGGCGTTTTGTTAATTCCTGATCTATTTGTCTGTAGATGATGTCTGGGGTCTAGTATGGGGTCCTGTCGTCGTTTTGTTAATTCCTGACCTATTTGTCTGTAGCTGAGGTCCGGGGTCTAGTATGTGGTCCTGTCGTCGTTTTGTGAATTCCTGATCTATTTGTCAGTAGTTGAGGTCTGGGTTCTAGTATGTGGTCCTGTCGTTGTTTTGTTAATACCTGATCTATTTGTCTGTAGTTGAGGCCTGGGTTCTAGGATGTGGTCCTGTCGTCGTTTTTTTAATTCCCGATCTATTTGTGTGTAGTTGAGGTCTGGGGTCTAGTATGGGGTCCTGTTGTCGTTTTGTTAATTCCTGACCTATTTGTCTGTAGCTGAGGTCCGGGGTCTAGTATGTGGTCCTGTCGTCGTTTTGTTAATTACTGATCTATTTGTCTGTAGATGAGGTCTGGATTCTAGTATGTGGTCCTGTCGTCGTTTTGTTAATACCTGATCTATTTGTCTGTAGTTGAGGCCTGGGTTCTAGGATGTGGTCCTGTCGTCGTTTTTTTAATTCCCGATCTATTTGTGTGTAGTTGAGGTCTGGGGTCTAGTATGGGGTCCTGTTGTCGTTTTGTTAATTCCTGACCTATTTGTCTGTAGCTGAGGTCCGGGGTCTAGTATGTGGTCCTGTCGTCGTTTTGTTAATACCTGATCTATTTGTCTGTAGTTGAGGTCTGGGTTCTAGTATGTGGTCCTGTCGTCGTTTTTTTAATTCCCGATCTATTTGTGTGTAGTTGAGGTCTGGGGTCTAGTATGTGGTCCTGTCGTCGTTTTGTTAATTCCATCCTCTATTGTCGTTTTATTTTGTTATCTTTGGTTTTTTTGTCCACTTCCGGAATCTCACCATTATTATTGGTTGATTCACTCTTAGCATGTTCGGGTATTGTTCTTAAGTTGGTAGCAAAGATGTCACCACAGTATAATTTATTCAATATTCTAATGTGCCAATTCCGTTTTGGTGTTGGCGAAGTTGTGATCATTGTATAATTTGTTTCGTTCTTGGGTTGTAGCGAGGTTTGGTCATTGTGTAATTCGTTTTGTTCTTGGGTTGTAGCGAGGTTTGGTCATTGTGTAATTTGTTCCGTTCTTGGGTTGTAGCGAGGTTTGGTCATTGTGTAATTCGTTTCGTTATTTGGTTGTAGCGAGGTTTGGTCATTGTGTAATTCGTTTCGTCATTGTATAATTTGTTTCGTTCTTGGGTTGTAGCGAGGTTTGGTCATTGTATAATTTGTTTCGTTATTTGGTTGTAATGAGGTTTTGACAATTATCAAATATGCTCCAATCTTGGGTTGTAGCGAGGTTGTGGCCATTGTATAATGTATATAGTTGTTGAATTGCTTGGCACCTCTTTGTGTTGTCAGGAGTCTTTGGCCCCTTTATACAGATTTGTAGCTAATGTAAGTATCCTACCGCGTGAAGTCTTTATATTTCGACCCCATCAAAGCGTTGTTTCTGGTTTAAGCTATTGTTGACCATTGCTTGGGGTGTGTAAATCGGTTAACCTGTGTAAGTTTGTGTGGGAGGGTATTCTGTACGGAGTAGTCCATTAACTGTAAGTGGTGTTATCAGAGACACGCTTTACAGGGTTGGTCTGTGTTAACAGTAAGTACATATATATTAAGTTCACGTGGCCACTGATTAACACACATATAGAGAACATCGTATATCAATATTTAGACGCAAAAACTAGTGGATGCCCTAAGGGACGTCCTCTACGATCCACGGGGATGAGACGTTTAACAGACACCGATGTCACTCATAGCCACTACTGGGCAAAACATTTACCTTCAGGGAAACAAAGTGCCGTAAGATCGACGTCTATGTAGGTTACATTTGTTTTTATACAAACATATACATATATATATATCACCCACTAAAGCTAAACCGATTGTCAATCTCTACACATTCCAATTTGACGGTACTACTTACCAATCAAAAGCAAAAACTATAAATGGAAAAATTCCAACCATATTTGAAACGAGTTGTTTGGGTTACTTTCGGTGCATGACTAGCCAACTCATGACTGTGTTGTCATTCCTTAAAGCACTTCAATATACAATAAAAAGTGTAACTTAACGAACTAACGGACGGATAAATCATGCTGTAAGCGTAGGGTCATACGTCTTTACACGAGATTGCGTAATTGGCCGGAAGGCGTTACGCATTGACTTGCGCAAATCATTCTTCTTACATATTTAGTGTAGATAGACCCTTCATTCATGAGCTTTCCTAACGTTTTAACAAATTATATGGTACGTCCTTAGGCTACACCAGTCGACAACATAACCTGTAATAATGGGAAGTTCGAACTACACGTGTTACCTGCCGGGCACGCTGACGATGGTAATAACGAGGCACGTCGGCCGTATTACGGTACATCATAACACATGTTTAAAGAATGAATCAGTTAGCGGATATTAAACCTTTTTTGTTCAAAACATAAGATACCACATATAACAAGTGCTGTGTTTTTATGACGGATCGATTGCGCTAAACAATACAATTATATTGAAATTCTGTTGAACATCAATTAGCCGCAGACGTGGTTCGAGAACGAAAACAACACCAGGAAACCTGGAGGTAAACACGTTATACTGTCAAACCTTTGTACACTACGATTTCATCGTAACGAAAGTTTATTTCCAAAATCATACATTAACGCTCAATAAAAAATAAAATCACACTGTTTAACGATAAAATGACCGTTTTTCAGACCAAAATGTTCGGTATCTGATTAATTCTAACCAGATAGCCTGTCTCTGTAACTTGACTTATGGAGAACTGGGACGTACCATGGCTTCGTGTACGACTAATCTTCATCATCATTGATCTTCATTACTAGGTCAATGTGTACAGGCAGATGTTTATAAGAGTACTTTAATATGAACACTGTTTGGTATTTAGGGTAAACTATGGCTATCATACAGAGTGGGATATTTTGATATTACGACAATTTTATGTTAGAAAACAAAATTCCGTTTATATTGGGAATTATAACATGGTAATCCGAGTGTACGTATAGCAAACGTCAATACTTTTAACACTTCAGACAGGTATTTCATTACAGGTAAACAAGGGCCATTCAATACATTCTGTCATTTGTGTCAGGAATGACATGTATGATGTTTATAGTTTGATCTTTCTATTCCAATCTTTAGTAGAAACGCACTTACGCCATCGCGTTAACCATGTCGTAAACGCTGCGCGGAGGTCTCCCCTTGGTATACTGGCAAAACACTGGAAGATTGCACTACCCATAGGACTCCTAGAGGCGCACCGTTCCACAGAGAACATTGTCTTTAGTAAAGTATATCTGGTAAATAGGTTGTGGATGATCAGTATTTACTACCTCTCTTTCTTCAGTAACACCTGTACAATATTGCGTTTGTGAGTAGGAGCTTTGTCGTAAATTGGCTGAATGTCATTCATCCCTTTACTTGGACGCTTTTTCATGTAGAACCTTTTGACAGGCTTCATTATCTTGTTTCAGTAAAACTTGGAAGTGCTAGTTTTCCCTGAACCACAACCCCACTACAATTGGTGCTTTACGTACGACTTACGCTCAATATCCTAACGTGACATCTCCAAAACCATTGCTTATTATTAATGCGCCTCTTTGGTTCAAAGTGATAGATCCAGGTTTCATCCCCTGTTAGTAACTCAATTAGCTTTGTTGAGGCACACTTATCGTACTTTTTCAATATATTTTTAGCATGTTTCAAATGGTTGGTCTTTTGTTCAGATGTCAGCAAAAGGGGGATCGATTGGGCACAATGCTTCTGTAATGTCAAGCACTTGTTCAGGATGTGATGTCTACTAGCTTCTGAAATGCCACCCATATCTCAGAAACGGTATACCGCCCATCATCCTTACTAGCTTCTGAAATGCCACCCATATCTCAGAACCGGTATACCGACTATCATCCTTACTAGCTTCTGAAATGCCACCCATATCTCAGAAACGGTATACCGACCATCATCCTTACTAGCTTCTGAAATGCCACCCATATCTCAGAAACGGTATACCAACCATCATCCTTACAAGCTTCTGAAATGCCACCAATATCTCAGAAACGGTATACCAACCATCATCCTTACTAGGTTCCACTGCAACAGTGTTATTCTTTGATGTTGCAACAGGTGGTTTACCTGGTCATGTGTCCTTTTTCGGGTCAAACTAATCAGTTTTGAATTTGTTCACCTACCTGAAAACAGATCTCTCCGTGACTGCAGAAGTGCCCTTTGTGCTGCACAACACTGTATGTGTGTGTTTACTATAGGAGCGTATTTCTAATTTAGTCTTTACTTTCAGTTTAGCATTGATATGTAGTCATGAGTGCATACCATTCACCAATGGTAACTTGTTCTATTCCTGTCGGATCATTTTGAAATTTCGCACGTGCATTGCTATTTAAATGGTTTTACAGTCTGCCATTCCCAAGGCGCTAAATTATTCTACTCTCCGTTCGTACGGAAGCTGCGTGGTGACAGCACTTATTGAATGACCCTTGTATAACGAAATGTTTGACATCGAAAACAAAACTATCAAATCAGCTTTAATGAGAAGTTGTTTACTTTATGTGTTGTACATACAATATTTACATATAATTCTCTGACAAGGAAATATATCTATTTGCAAAGCGTTTCCCTTCATTGTGTATCAGTGTGTAAGACACAGACGTGCATTACCTTGATATTAACTCACAGACATTTTTCTATTTCGTCAATAAGTCACCATTTAGATGGATTTTCTAACTTTTAATGCAATTTGTATATTGATTTGTTTACATGAGATTATTTTTGATACTGAAAATGATATTGGAGGTTTTAGAACTTGAACTTAATCGTTGATGTTTATTTGCAGGATCCGTGGGGAGGAGATCGTGTCCCGCGGGGCGTCCTACAGGTAACTATACCATTTATATACAGACCGTACAAACTATTTTGTGTTCGTCCATGGTCAATCATTCTTTATACATTAAGGCTATTGTGTCTGTGTAACGTGTATGTGTATCTCTGTGTATCCAATATAGGAAGTTTACTCCGTGTGCTAAACCCACACATACTCCTTTTACATAAATTCTGTGTTTGGTCCCGTTTTGATACTCAGTTTGAGTTCAAAATATTTTATTGATAATCATTCGATTAATTTGCCAAACGCTTTAGGAGGCCGAATATGCACTTTTCACATTTTTTGTGTGTTTTGCAATATTTTGTCATTTGGCGGACGGTATACGATATAACGAAATGGAGCGACCAATAACGATACCTCGTTTGATGTATTAATGGGAAGGACTTCCCCGCTCGCTTGTTTAACAGAAATTATTTCTTTTTCAAACTGATTTTGGTATATAGATAATTGGTTATATCGATATATCAGTGGGATGTTAACGTGTAGAATGTGATATTTCGTTCTGTTATAGAAAACACGACGATTTACCCAACAAGTGATGGTATATCTAGCTGTGATATAGTGACAATGTTAAAATGTCCGTTACCAGCCCCGTTAACAGACGTATCTATTTCTGACACAGTAGCACCATACCGGTCATTTTGACAACAAGGGTGTTTAAACTGTCATAAGCAATGTATATCTGTCTATGTAAAAGTTATTTAAGGCTTTTGTCGGTGATGCTCACCAAGGCCCCTCTCCGGCCATTAACCATGTGCACAGAAAAGCCATTTAGCTGCCTGTAAGAGACATAAAAAACTGACCACGGTTGTTCTTATAAATACCTCGGTTGACCCTCCCTTGTGTCTGGAGACTACGTGACCATGTTTGTATTGGGAGGGTTTGATTACACTCAATAAAAATAGAACCGTAGCACGCGCCATCGCCTATGTGTCACCATTTAATACGTTGTTCATTAAGACCTGTGATTGTTGTTGATACGTATATCAAGTAATGTAATGGTCCATGACACATTTTCTGGTCACAAACAAAATACATAGAATGCGTCACATGTGAACGAATAGACTACAATCTGGTTCCAGGAAATATTTTTGTACGCACAAGTTTTTTATTTGTCCATGATATGTAGCTAGCTTATCAGAAAGTAAATGAGATTTTTCACCGTTCAAACACCAGAGAAGTCGAACGAAAGGATAATTTCCAAATGATTCCAACATCGCATAATCGTGCAATTTAAATGTATATATACACGTTTGGATAAAGTTGTTACTAGATACGCGATTATTATTATATGCAATCACCCACCTATTACTTTCAACTAAATCAGTAATGTTCCGGAAAGAGAAACACTGAACCAAACGTTTTACACAAGACGTGTCAGTAAACGTAATACAGGTGTGACGTCACCAGGTGTGTCAATCACACGGCAGATTAACCAGGTGGAAATGTCTTTATCGACAATTACTCCTCCTGACAGTCATCGATAAATCAGACGTGTTTTGTCGGAGAATACCAATCACCTCGCGAGGGTGTACAAGTTACGTGTACAGGGGCTTGGTCATTCACATCAGTTGGTGTCATTTATAGTGTACACTTATCTTAGAGAATCCTGAACGTTTTATAAAACGTTTTAGATGCTTTGCGCGTGGAACACAGGGTGGCCAAATGCCAGTAAAAGCAACAAAATATAATGCATTTAGTTACGACATGTTGGATTGACCGAGCCAGTAAACAGAATACATGTCAGACGGAATAGTGATGGTTTTGTAAACAACCAAACCTTCACGTGTCGGTCGCTAGATCCATTCCTTTTCGGTATACCAAGTGGACGTGTCTACATGTATTGAGTATTTTTTGTTAAGACTTACCAACCCTATCTATTTAATAGACAAACTGGTGAGAGTATTTGGCATAATATATATTGCTAGATTTGAAACTGTTTGGTAGGTTGGCTGTAGACGGACAATAGATCGATGTATACTCAGTCGTGTGATGACGTAATTTACAAAACATTTCCCTGCTACATTTTATTCACCTCATTAAACTTCCTGTCAAAAAAGCACGAGAGGAAATGACGTAACCGGACATGGGACGTCCGATTGCTCTTTGTTCGGGGTTTTTTGCCGTTATGATTTCGAGCAGGGCATGACATACCTTTACCGTGTATGTAGAATTCTAACAGAAGGGAAGGTGACATTTTTGTAGTATACTAACCATAACACGATATTAAAACTTAAAAGTAAGTAAGAACACCTAAACTGATATAGAAATAATAACAATGGCTTTGATATCAGGTGTCGTTATTGCAATTGTTATTTTATATTTCTACCACCCACATCAAACCGTTCAAAATTTCCTTCTCCGTTCTTTTTCAGCAAACATTCTAGTTATAACTCTCTCCCTAAATCCCCCCACCACACTCCCATTGTTATAACTCTATCCCTAAATCCCCCACCACACTCCCATTGTTATAACGCTCTCCCTAAATCCCCCCACCACACTCCCATTGTTATAACTCTCTCACTTAATCCCCCACCACACTCCCATTGTTATAACTCTCTTCCTAAATCCCCCCACCACACCCCCATTGTTATAACTCTCTTCCTAAATCCCCCCACCACACCCCCATTGTTATAACTCTCTCCCTTAATCCCCCCACCACACTCCCATTGTTATAACTCTCTCTCCCTAAATCCCCCCACCACACTCCCATTGTTATAACTCTCTCTCCCTAAATCCCCCCACCACACTCCCATTGTTATAACTCTCTCCCTCAATCCCCCCCCCACACTCCCATTGTTATAACTCTCTCCCTAAATCCTCCACCACACTCCCATTGTTATAACTCTCTCCCTCAATCCCCCCCCCACACTCCCATTGTTATAACTCTCTCCCTAAATCCCCCCACCACAACCCCATTGTTATAACTCTCTCCCTAAACCCCCCACCATACTCCCATTGTTATAACTCTCTCCCTAAATCCCCCACCACACTCCCATTGTTATAACTCTCTCCCTAAATCCTCCACCACACTCCCATTGTTATAACTCTCTCCCTAAATCCCCCACCACACTCCCATCGCATGTACTTCTAAGTTTCTGCCCTACAACAATCCTGTTCCAAAATAACACTCGGCACTCCTGACAATAAAACAAATCTCGTTTAAAATTCCTCTTCACAACACTGCCAATATGTGTCTCAATATCACTTCCACGCCTTATTTAACAACAATCCTGTGTCAATACCACTTACACGCCTGACTATACAACAACCCTGGCTCCGTACCACTTACACGCCCGAATCTACAACAACCCTATCCCTATACCACTTACACGCCCGATTCTACAACAACCCTATCCCTATACCACTTACACGCCTGACTGTACAACAACCCGACCCCTATACCACCTACCCGCCCGATTCTACAATAACCCTTTCCCAATACCACTTACCCGCCCGATTCTACATCAACCCTTTCCCATTACCACTTACCCGCCCGATTCTACAATAACCCTTTCCCAATACCACTTACCCGCCCGATTCTACATCAACCCTTTCCCTATACCACCTACCCGCCCGATTCTACATCAACCCTTTCCCAATACCACTTACCCATCGATTCTACAACAACCCTTTCCCAATACCACTTACCCGCCCGATTATTCATCAACCCTTTCCCAATACCGCTTAAAAGCCTGATTCTACAATAACCCTGTTCCTGTACCACTTAAACGCCGGATTATACAATAGCCCTGTCCCCATACAACTTACACCACTGATTCTACATCAACCCTTTCCCAATACTACTTAAAGGCCTGATTCTACAACAACCCTTTCCCAATACCACTTAAACGCCCGATTCTACAATAGCCCTTTCCCGATACCACTTACACGCCTGATTCTACAACAACCCTGTCTCAGAAATCTTCATCCACATACAAATTGAAGAAGAAACATCGACATGCGACTGATGTACGACTATGACGTAAATAGTAGATGATATGGCGCGTCCCCCTTGGCTACTGTCATTGTGACCGGCGTTCACGAGGATTTGTCAGATTGGTGACACGTTGGAGATAAAATGACTAGAATGTGAGACTTAGTATCCAGTTGTTGTCACTTTAGACATATAATGGTGTCCTATGGATGGGAGACCACTTATAAAGCAATGGCGGAATTACGTCATAGCGATGATGAAAGTGACACCCATATCACAGACACCATATTACAGGAACCGATTATAGGACTGAGGGACAAAGCAAAGCAAGTAAATGGAGACAAAAACTATATAGACAGAGCTTTCTGTAGCTATAAACAGTATATCTCTAGCTACAAACAGTGTGTCTCTAGCTATAGACAGTGTGTCTCTGTAGCTATAAACAGTGTGTCTCTGTAGCTATAAATAGTGCGTCTCTGTAGCCATAAACAGTGTGTCTCTGTAGCTATAAACAGTGTGTCTGTGTAGCTATAAACAGTGTGTCTGTGTAGCTATAAACAGTGCGTCTCTGTAGCTAAAAACAGTGTGTCTGTGTAGCTATAAACAGTGTGTCTCTGTAGCTATAAACAGTGTGTCTCTGTAGCTATAAACAGTGTGTCTGTGTAGCTATAAACAGTGTATCTCTGAAGCTAAAAACAGTGTGTCTGTGTAGCTATAAACAGTGCGTCTCTGTAGCTATAAACAGTGTGTCTCTGTAGCTAAAAATAGTGTATCTCTGTAGCTATAAACAGTGTGTCTGTGTAGCTATAAACAGTGCGTCTCTGTAGCGAACAACAGTGTGTCTGTGTAGCTATAAACAGTGCGTCTCTGTAGCTATAAACAGTGTGTCTCTGTAGCTA